TATTATTATTATTATTATTATTATTATTATTATTCAGCTCTAAAACTTTGGCAGTTAAATTCATATCCAATCATTTCATACATGCTTAAATGATATTTATCAGGAGATAAAAATCCGTGGTTGCAGAGCTGGCACTCCGATCTCAGGGAAGCTTGGTGCTGACCAGGAGGGTGGGCTGGCTGAAAGAATCCTAAGGAATGAGTCCCCAAGGTCGTTGGGGGGGGAGATGCTGGACATCTGTCACCACTGGGTTTGAAGTAAGCCACACAGCAGCAGGGGCTGGATAATAATGGAAGGAGGCAGCCTGGCTTTGAAACAGGAGCATGGCTTTCTCTAACATATTCTTGTCGTTAATGATTATGACTGTAAAACCTATTGAAGCATGCAGGCTATTCCTTAAGAAGCATTTCAAGGTGTTTCCACATCCTTTCAGGCATTTCTGCTCCTTCTTTTTAAGCCGGAAGATTGGGTGACTGGCTCCAATTCACTGACCCAAGGAGAGAGGGGCCAGTGGAAAGGCAGGTGTCCTGTTTGACGGGCACACGCGGTCCCACTGTGTTCCCCTGCCTGTGTGTGAGAGCCAAAGGGCCTCAGAGGACACACTTTAGGTCCTGTCAGCTTTGACCTACAGTTGTACCTTCCTCCCTGGCGAGCTGGCGAAGCAGATGCATTTCATCTGTGAAGTGACACTGCCTGTGTCACCTGGCACTGAGTGACCCCAACAAAACCCTTCTCACAATTCTCCAGGCCATCAAGATATCGAAAGATCTGGGCATAGTGGGAGGGAGAGAGAAAGAACTGACAAATTATTCAAAGCACTCTCTTTGTGTTAAAAAGCGTGGTGAGGGTCCTCCTGCTACATGTCAATGTCTAAACACGCTTTGAAAAGCATCGTCCTGGCTGCCCACGGTGGGCCTGTCCTCAGCCCCCATCACCCACCCCTTGTTTCCTGCGGCTGCACCCCAGGAGTATCCACTTTGACACACAGCTCTGCTGCCCTCTGCCCGGAGTCTGAATCAGCTCAGCCTGAAATCCCAAAATAGCATGCTGCCCTGTGTGCTGGTGGGCCGAGCAGTGGCAGCCCTTCCTCAGTTCCCTGCCGTGCCATTTGGAACACACAGTGTCCCCTAGGACGCCAGAGTGCCTGTGGCTCCCTGCGGGCCTCCAGAATGACGCCCCGTTGAGCGCCTTGGCTGAGCTGGACCTGCAGCCCTCACGTCCCCCAAGAAGGGGCTCACCAGCGCAGTGGCAACCTTGGGTGGCTTTTCACAAGCTCTGAGCCTGCGAGGGTTTACAATTTTCACTTTTGTAATGCTCCCTGTAAAGGTTTCTTAGGAACCGCTGACGCTCCTGATGGTTTCTGTTCTACCCACGCCCCATGCTGTCGAAGGTCCAGGATAATGGAGGCTTTTAGCAGCTGACAGAAGTCAAAAGCCAAACACCTCTGCGACAGGGGTTGGAGGTCATGCCCTCCCCAGTATCAAAAACAGCAGGAAAAGGCTTTTGCTGCTGTGTCCGTGGGCCAGCAACATCTAAAGGGTCGCTCCGTTACTGTCTATCACAGCCCTAAGATTCATAAAAAAGGCCCAGGACCTGAAACACAGCTCAGCGCTTCTCTCCCCTTTCAGACGACAGGCTAAGGTGGGAGAGGTCAGACTTTGACCCCGAGACACCACTTGCTTTCTTAGAAATGCGCTCTAACTTTGTCCTGTGGAACTCTGGAGAGCAACACAATGACATATGAAAGCGGGGAACGCTAAGGCCAAAAACCCACACCCATAACAGTATTACCCTGAAACAAGCCCCACTGTAACCTGAAGGAATTCCTAACCCACTCATTAAGAAGTAATGTTTCTATTATAATTCCCCATGGCACTTACTTTAAAATATCCGTTATAGCACTTACCCCATGCTACCTTGCATTATAGTGATTAGTTCGTGGCCTGGTTGGTTTCCCCCTTGTAATGAATAAGTTCCTTCAAGCAGAGGCTATATTTTTCTCGCTTTCGTTTAATTAATTCCATAAGCATTTATTAACGACTCTCCTAGATACTGAACTATAAGAGTGAATAAATAAAGATTTCTTCTCTCAAGGAACCCACAGAGCAGCAGAGAAGACAAATATGTGAGCAAAACTCTGTCATAGAGAAGACGGATGTTACAAAAGGAGATACAACAGAGAGTGGTTGCCACCCGAGGGGTTGAGTGTGGCCGGGGCAGACGGGCAGAAAGATGAATGAGGGGGTAGGCAGTGGCTGGACCGCAGAGGAACAGGCAGAGGAATTCGGCCTTTGTCCTCCACTAATGGGAGTCACTGGAAGTTCTGAAGCAGAATCACACTGATTGTTTAAAGATCACTCTGGAATGCGATTAGAGAAGATAAGACTGGTGGTGGCTGGGAAACTGGTTTAGAAGTGATAGCCCTGGTGAAAAATGAGGCTCTAAACCTGGGCAGCGCTGGTCAGAACGGGGAGGAATGGGCGAATTCAAGAGGTCAACTTGGCAAGGTATAGGAAGAGATTCTGGGTTGATCCCCGGTAGAGATTTAGTGGCCAGCTGCTTACACATGGCGGACCCGCTCTGGGACGAGGGTGGGATCCCTAAGGGTTCCTCTGTGGACTTCCAGAGGACACTGAACCCCCGTGAAATTGCACATAAAACTATGTATACCCTTGTATGTGTGTTTCTGGGAAGATAACCCATACGTGTCACCATGTAACAACCACTGCTATAAGGATAAAAGGGAAAAGGGTCAACAGCAGAACCTCGGAAGGGGGGACACCAATGTCTACGGATGGAGCAAAAACAAAGCAGGCAACTCAAAGGTGAAGAACGATGCCTCGTTTATATTATTTCCTCCATCGGTAGCTGTTGGTAAAAATTTGGTAGATTTTTCTCTCAGTTTTAACTACTATTTAACCAGTTGCAGACTAATTGAATCCTAGATCTTATTCCTAGGTCTTTCAAGCCTTTCAGACGTGGATTTCTGGGCATTTTCACGTAGAAATTTCTCCTGGGAGGCTTCTCTCTTGCCAGTGTCTCTCCTCACGATAGGCTGTTAGAGCTAATTAGAGGATGGCCTTAGAGCTTGTCTTTTAAGATTAAAGATCCACTGGAGGATTTGTGCTCAGGCTGCCTGTATATTCTGTACATCTGGAGAACATAGGAGATGAGGGAAGGGGGACTGAGACGCAGGACGTTAAGAAGGGAGACAGCCTGATGCCGCTGAAAGGCGAACGCCTGCACGTCTCCCCCCAGTCCCAGGCTTTCTCTCCCCAGGTTGCTTTTGTGGTTTGACTTTGAGGAAGACTTCGTGACCAGGTGGCAGGCCTGTCTTCCCTCCCAGGGGAAGGCTTTTGCCTCATGCTGATTTATCGCATAACTGCTCAGAGAAGGTCCCAACAGAGGCGAGGAGGATACTTATCGAACATCCCGTCTAGCAGCACTGAGACCTTCTCCAGGTTTCTCTGAGCACTTCCCCGGCTCATGCAATGCTGGACCACTTACTTCTCCATCCGGTAGTAGAGCATGCCTCGTTGGAAGTAGGCCACCGCCAAATGCTTGTCTCGGTTGATGCTTCTAGAGAAGGCCTGGGGGAGAAAGGGCCCATTTGTGGCCAAGGAACCAGGCCGGGGGAGGTGTGAGGTCAGCCAGAGGGTGAGGCAAAAAGGGTCATGAGAATGATTGGTGTCTTGAAGGTGGCAGGGAGCTTAGAAGCCAGATACCCCGGGTAAGAGTGCCCTGTGTTGTCACTTCCTGGTGACATGGCATGAGGCAAGTTACCTAATCTCCTTGAAATTTAGTTCTTCTCTGTAAAATGGAGGATATTAATATCTGCCTTTCAAGGTGACTGATAGGATTCAAATAATACAAGTAATTAAACATAGACATAACCATTAAAATGTGAGCGATACGGTATTACATGTGTGTATTCTATAAATATTACACGATTAAAATAATAACAAATAAGAATGTATATAACATATGAGGGATAAAGACTCAAGCCGGAAACCAAAGAAAGACGGAGAGAACGAGAAGACCCAAAGCAGAAGAATGCAAGAAGTCCAGCGAGGTGAGAGGAAGGTGTGGAGGGAGCGGCCCAGGGGTGCGCGGCGGCGGGCACAGCCCTGCCCGGGGCCCCGTGTCGGTGGCAGCTAACAGCCCCTGCTGGCATAGCTGCCCCAGACTAGCTGCCCGGCATTGCCAAGTTCTTCTCCCCGACAATGTGCACTTTGTCTCCAGCTGCCCTCGGAATCTAGGAAGCTAATTTACTCAGCCCCTTGGCAGGCCCCTGAGAGGAGGCCAATGGCCTCCCTCCAGCCAGACATGGGGTGGGGGCCTTCGTGTGCTCCTGTCTGCCCACTCTGGACCTGAGATGGACTTGTCCGTCTGCACAGGTGTTCTAAGCAGCTTCTCTCCTCACTCCTCTATGCTCGCTGCTGGCCACAGTGAGGATGGCTGTGAGAGGAACTGGCTCTTTAAGTGGGCCGGGTAGTCAGTCATCTGTCCACACGGCCTTGCAAAGACTGGCAGTAAAAGGTAAAAATAAGAACTCACATTTACACCGCAGTGGTGTGAAGTGACAGCATTTTAACAGTTGGTGCCCACTTAATCCTCAAGATATTTAACCCCTCAAGAAACTGAGAGCCAGAAGTTTACAGGACTTGCTGAGGACGGTTCAAAGGTCCAGAGAGAGTCAGAGCTGTGATTTGATTCTAGATCTGCTTCCAAACTCCATAGCCTTTCCAGCTCACCAGACCAACCCAAAGGGTGATGTTTGAATGCTCAACCCCATACTCAGGAATAGGAGAGAGAAAAAATATTTGAAAAATATGCAGAGACACCCTACACGGGGCCCCTGGCAGACAGCATGAATCAATCACAGTATGATTGCCTCCCACCATAATTGATCAGAATTGTCACTTGAGACGAAGCCTCTTTTTCTTAAGGGCCTCCTCTCTGTCTTTTGGGCAGACAGAAAAGCTCACCCACATGAATGCCTTGAGGAGCCAAAGAGGTGCTTTTATCATCAGCTGGGAAGCACGAGATGGAAATCCTGTGGCCAGCAGGGGTTTATAGAAGAAAACATAACTAGGGAAGTCTTCATGAAGGGGTGAAAGAATGATTCCAGAATGACGTGAATTTAATAGATGGAGAAGAAAGGAGAGGAAACCCACCGCTTGTGGTTCTCAGCCCTGAGGCTCATTAGAACCCTCTGAAGAGCCTGCCCAGGCCCCTCCCCAGACCAATTAAATCAGGACCTGGGGGGGTGGGGCCTGGCAGCTTTTCTTCTTGTAAAGCTCCTGAGAGGCGTCTAAACTGCAGCCAGGGCTGGGAACCACTCATTACAAGGGCACAGAGGCAACCCGGGGAGAGACACCTCCACTCACCCTCTCTGCCTCGGGCATGTTTTCCAGGATTGTATGCAAGCAGCCAATGTTGAAACAAATCCTGGAGTGGGGGTCCTGGATGGCGGTGAAGGCGTCCAGGGCTCCCTTCCAGTCTTTCTTGTCGACTGCCAGCACCCCTTCATTCCAGAGGCTGATGGCCTCAGCCAGGGACATGGTCAGGCTGTGAGCACTGGCAGGAGACAGGGAGAAGGTGAGCAGGCCTCTCCCCACAGCAGGGCAGCTCCAGACCTCTCCTTTCTTGGGCTGGTGCTCAGAATGGGGTCCAGCCTTTCTTAAGACAACTTCCCAGTGTTGCAAAAGCATCAGGAAATGTCCCCACCTTTCGGCAACTGATGCATGACCCTCATGAGAGAGAAGAGGAAAGAGAGAGAGAAGGCAAGTGGGGGCGGAGTGTGGAGGAGACAGGAAGTACATCAGATATTGCCTGTGATGGATCAGTTCCCCAAAACGCTTCTGCTCTGTCACGCAGCTTGTTTTCTCTGCCCATCCTGCCCGCCGCAGCTTTGGGTCAGGGCTCTGCTCTCAGGCTCAGGGCAGCCTCGGCTGATCAATGCGCCTCCCTGGGCCTCCATGCCCAACCTTTGTTAGATGAGGGTGCTTGCTGAGAGGCTAGTTCTTTCCAGTCTTACATGAATTCCTTGCTTACTTTCTCATAACCTCATAGACCGTCTTGAAATATATGTGTGTGTGTGTGTGTGTGTGTGTGTGTGTGTGTGTGTGTGTGTGTGTGTGTGTGTGTATCTTGAGCTAAAACTAGTAATTGGCTCATTTCTGAGACAGGGTTGTCTTGGGTGTCCCTTTGGGTCTGAGATAACGTTTATGAACACTTAGGACGCTCAGAGGGGAGCGATTTCCTGCAAATACTGAAAGTAGGCACCGGATATGACAGTGAACTATGAATTTTCCCAGCCTTGTATGAAAACTTGAAGAGACAGGGGGTCTCAATAATGACAAATGCATTTACTAGTCTCTGAAAAAACAGATTTAAGATTCCTTTCCTTGCTGCCCTGGAAAAGTAAAAAATCAGTAAAACCTCCCTGAGGAATAATTGTGAATAAAGGGTATAACCACTTTGACTTGCTAAAATCCTGACTTCTTGTTAATGTTAGATAAAATGCATGTTTGTGATGGTCAACTACTTAGATACTAACTCCCGTTCTGTAGCAACTGAAAGAACTCACGAATTATCACCAAACTTCTCCTAAGAGCCTGAAAATAAAACTTAAAAATGTATCTTCAATAGGGCTTGTAGGGTTGAAGGTATGAAAATTGAGATGTGTGTGTGTGTTTGCACAGACCATTCCCTGTGTTTAAAAGGCCTTCCCACCTCACTTATTTTCCTGGCAAACTCCTACTCATCCTTCGAGGCCCAGTTAAATATCACTACCTGCCTGAAATCTAGCTCCACACTCCAGGTAGTAGAGAGAATTTTTTCCCTCCTTTGTAGCACCTCCTCCCAAAGATTTAATTCCATTTGTTGCAATTTATCTCTTCATCTGCTCAACTCTTAGACCCTTTGAGAGCTGGGCTCAGGCCTTTTCATTCTAGAATCCCTAGCACCAATCCCCAGGAAACAATGAAGGGCTGTATTTCAGAAACAAGTTAGAAATCATTGGCAAGTGACCTGCAGGGAGTGGCGATACCAGGAAGAGATATTGCAAGTCCATCCGGTGGGTCAACCACCAAATCCCCATTAGCACATTGATTATTCCTAGGAACACTAAGAGGTTTTGTAGCCAACCTAGACTTGATTGAAACTTTTTTCACCCCCTTTTATTTGCTTATCCTAGCCTGCCACGCAGAACTCTCCTTAAGCTGATGCCCATTACTTTCCTCACCTTATTTTCCGGAACGTCCCTTCATAAAACCCTACAAACTCTACTACTTGCTCTTCCCCTCTAGGCCCTCCTTTCCTGCCTCTCTGCTTTGGGTCATGCCCGTTCCTCTCCCTGGGCTGCCCTGCTCTGGGCTACACCCTCAAAGTCAGCTTGCACAGCCTTTGGTGCCCTGCTCAAACACCACCTTCCTTCAGAAGCCGCCCGTGTCATCAGGCCCACCCTCAAGCTCCCAAAGCTGTGATGTCACCTTCTTCTAACTCCCACAGGGCACTTCACTGCTCCCCGCCCTAGCAGAGTTCTGTGTTTGCCTACAAGTCTTAGCCCCTGGGGCAGACCCTGCTCCTGGGGAGGAGGTCCCAGGACCGCCCCACCCTCATATCCCCAGGAGCACGATAATGTCATTCATAATCAATTCTCTCCACTTTCCCCTCTCTTTTTGCCAAACCACCATTAGATGGACCTGTAGTCTCCTGACACCTTCTTCTCCTTCCATCCATTCTTCGCACAGAAACCAGACCCATCTTTCAAAAACACGAGCTGGATCATGTCATGCCCATTTAAAAACCTTCAGTGCCCTTGCGTTGCTCTTAGGATACAATCCACACTCCTTTCCGTGGTGCATGGAAGGACCCTGAGAGCTGCCCCATGCTCATTCCACGCCATTTCCTCTCTCTTAACTCCCTCCTTCCCTCCCTCCCTCCTTCTCTCTAGGGCTCCCCTGCACTGATCTCCTTTCATGCTCTCAAGCCAGCTGGGCCTGTTCCCTCTGCCTGGAATGTCCTCCCCTCAACCCTCTGCCTGGCTGGTTCCTTCTCATCTTTCATTCCTCTGAATGGCCTGTCTTGACCCATGACCTTGCTGAGATCACCCTGCTATCCTCTGACACCATGGTTCTCCCTGGTCACAGTATTTGTCACAGTTGTAACTGTATGCCCTCTGTCAGATCGTTTCTGTCTCCCAGTGAGAGCAGTCATTCTATCTTTAATCACAACTGTCAGTAGACAGCCTTTCCAGCCACCCTTCATTCCCCCTCCTCCTTTCAGGAGAACCCCAGCTCTGTTCAAGTCTCCACTCTCCTGAGGCCTCATGCTTCAGGGGAGATAACCCTCAAACACTGCCCCGAACAAGGGAGTGGGGTTCTGACTGGGTTAGACGCAAGCATGAGATAGAATTCTGGTTAATAAATGTTAGGGGAAGTCTGCTGAGGATTTCTGGAGTTTCCTCCTGTTCTTTCATTTGGGATGTATTTCTTTGTTTTCTCATTTTCGTTGCCTCTCTGTGTTTGTTTCTACTCATTAGGCAGGGCTGCTAAGTCTCCAGTCTTGCTGAGAGGCATTATGTAATGGGTGCCCTGTGGGACCTTGGCACAGTCTCCCTGGTCGCCTGGTCCAGGTGCTCCAGGACTGTCCCTTGTGTGGGTTGTGTGTGCCCTCCTGTTATAGTTGAGCCCTGATTGCTATTGGCATGTCGGTGGGTGGTATTGGACCTCAGGCTGACTGGCTGTGGGGTTTGGTCATGTCCACAGCTTATGGGCTGCTGTGTGGGGGGCTTACTCCATGGAGCAAAATTTGCCCCTGTGGGCTCTGGGGCCTGTGGAGATGGCCCTTTGTTTGTGTTGCTTGTGGGGCTAATTGGGTGGTGTTCTGCTGTTGTCTAAAGCCAACTTCCAAATAGTTGGTTCTGGGGCCTTTTGGGAGGGACTCTGGTGCAGGCCCAGGTTCGCCACTGCCTGTGACTGGCCGGGGTGTATCTGGTAGGAATTACAAAGTGATCTATGGTTGGTCACTGCCTGTGCTAACCCTGGAGATGCGTGGGAGAGGCTGCACTGCAAACTGAGGATGTCTGCCACCAGTAACATGTCTGGGGTAGCTCTGCAAAATATCAGGACACCCCAAGGTCTGCTGCCACCTGCCAGCTCCCATAAGGTACAGCCTCTGATAAAGCCACCTGTGCTACACAAGTTGTGTGAGGCAGCTTTCAGTGAGTCAGCAGGGTGGAGCAGCAGATCTCACCAGGCCAATCAGATTCACATTTGGCCTGAGGGGGCGGGCTCAATACAGGAAAGATGGCGCCCACCTGCCTGCTCCTTGGGGGAGGGCTCCACATGGGGAAAATGGGGACGGTCCCTCTAGTCCTTGCCTCAAAGTTACACTTCTCGGTCTCTTCCCATACGTCTTTGATGCCTTCAGAGTCACCATCCCTCCGCCGGAGCCTAGGGTGAGTGCCTTCACGGGCCCTTTAAGAGGATGTCTGGGTTTCCTGCAGCTTTCTGTCCCACCCAGATGGTTGGAATCCCCACTGTTTTTCACAGCCAGAAGTTGTGGGATCTCCTCTTTCCAGCACCAGTTCTCCAGGCTGGAGACCCTGGAATGGGATTGGGGTTCCTCTTTCCTCTAAGGGGAACCTCTGTGGCGGTTCTATCTATCCCTCCTAATTTTCATCCACCTCACGGAGGTCTGGAGCTAGCCCGTTCTTCGTCTCCGCGCCTCCTATCAGTCTTGACATGGCTTTTTCTTTTTATCCTTAGTTGTAAAACTTCTGTTCAATTAGACTTCAGGTTGTTTTCCAGGATGATTGTTCTATAATTTATTTGTAATTTTGATGTGTTCACGCGGTGAGGCAAGCACAGCATTTATCTACTCTGCCATCTTGGATCTCCTGTTATTTAACTTTTTCTACATGAAGCTTCTCACTCAAGCTCCTCAAAGGGTAGAAACGTGTCTCATTTTCTTCAATCTTTCATTACACTCAGCATAGTTCTAGCACATGGCAGGTGCTCTGTAGACCTTTGCTAATTGGTTAAATGAACCAAAAATTATGAAAATTGAATCCTACCTGAAAAAAAATTGTAGAGTTCTTCTGTATCATATTATTTGCATAGAATGAGGTAGGTACATTTATAATAGTAGGGAAAAGTATATAGTCCTTTCTGTGCTCTTAATTCTAACATCAAGTAGGTATTTACATTGGGTACCAGACAGGAAATCCTCAGGAGGTGGGCAAGGAGATCTCATTTATTATATGCAAACTTGGCCTGAATTTCACAGGGAAGATACAGAAAACTCAGTATGGGTCCTCTTGGTCAGCAATGCTAGTCGAAAGCCTCAGTGCTAAAAATCTTCCTTCTCTAGGAAAACATCATAAGTTAGTCCTGTCTAATCTACCATTGTATTAGTTTTCTGGTGCTGCGTTAACAAGTTACAAAAACTTGGTGCTTGAAATAATACACATTTACTATCTCATAGTTTTCATAGGTTCAGGCATGGCTTAGCTCTGTACTCAAGGTCACAAGGCTAAGATCACAGTGTTGGCCAGGCTACATTCTCATCCAGAGGCTGGACTGAGGAAGAAGGACCTGCTTCTTAAGAGTCTGTATTTCATTGGGTCTCTGACCTTCAGACCTACTTTTAAAAGCCCTGCTTGATTAGGTCAGGCCCACCTAGGATGATCTCTTTTTTGATTAATTTAAAGTCAGCTGGTTAGGGATCTTAATTACTTCTGCAAAATCTCCTTCA